GCATTCTGGTGGATTCTAGATGATTACTTAGAAAATCCTGCCTGAGCAGTCATTTTACTGATGTGTATAGGTGGATTCCATACAGGTATTAAGTTGGGCGGATAAAATCGATCCAAGTGTGAGTAAATTAACGGCTGACTGTGAGTCTCATACCTCAATGGTAGAGCGTTGGCTGCGCAAAAGTCCTCCCTGCTGTGTGGGTTCGATTCCCACCGAGGCCGCGAATTTTTCACAATTGAGTCAACTGAATTAAGAAAACCGGCCAACCCTTCCCATAACAATTTACACTCTAAGTAGATGGCTTTTCGAGAAAATGAGCTCATGAAAAAATTGCGAACTATTATTTTCCATAATTAAAATCAATAAGGAGCTTATAAATTTTTATTGCAGCCGAGGTGCCCAGGGGTCGCAAGAAGAGGAAACCATACACTCGTTATCAAACGATGGTCCTGGAAAACGAATACCTCGTCGCCACTTACATCACACGCCAGAAGCGGTGGGAGATTTCATGCAAACTTCATCTTACTGAGCGTCAGGTGTGTCAGCATACTGCATGAGACTTTACTTGTAATTTCTCCTAATATGCAGTTTTGGTTTTCAGTAACAGAAATAACTCTACATAATTCGTATATATTATCTCACCAAGCAGGACTGCCTTTAGAGGTCCTTTTTGCATTTGACTTATAACAATAGGCTACTTTTACATTTTCAGTAACCCGGATTTCCCTTTTTTGTTAAATCCCGCCAATATAAAGTCTAATTTCCCTGTATCGTTAAATTCCGTCAATATAAGGTAGAATTTCCATTACTAGGCATCAGTTGTCTGAGCAACAGGAGTTTATGTTGATGGAATTGATTCAATTTTGTACATTAAAACAAATATAAGTTTCTTTAATTTAATATTTTTGACCACCTCCACCCAAGTAAATATTCATCTACACTCAATAACCAAGAATTAAATCTTTGACCACAAATTACGTTAGAGATTTTGGCGGGGGGATAGATATTTAGGCGGCCCTACAAGATGGTTTTGTCTTTCACCATACACGGGTACTAGCTCAAATCACAGACACTTGTATAGTTGTTGTAAAACTTTGACGGGTTCGGTCGAACACTGGGTACTCTGAGATCCTAGCATTTTCTAACAGGGACCACTTCAGCTTAAAACCGTCAAGATTTGACTGTCGAGAACAGAAGAAGATGAATTTACCACCATACCGATAAATGAACCTTGATCTGCCTTGTCAGCCAAGACCAGGAAATCCATTGTAACACTGTCATGGAAACCATGAAAGTGTTGAGCAAACACGTGTATTTATTTGAATCCGTCAACTGCATAACCGGTCCATTTACTCGGAATTCGTCGGAGACTGACAACACTGCCGCACCTGGTCAATTCTTTGTGGCATTACTACTGAGATTCTCCCTGGTAGGCGTGTTTGCGTCCGCGAAAATCAATTTGCAGTAAAAAGGCACGGCATTGTGTTTTTCCTAAAGAGCCAGTTTCCCAGATTGGGCTGCGGACTTAGGTTTGGTTTGATGTGGTGAGGGGGTGGGGTGGGGTTAGACATTGCGGTTGCTACAGTGGCTATGGATCCAGATTGTGTGTTGAGTGGGGGAATGGAGTTAGGGGAGATCTGGGTATAAGGATTCTAGGCTTTTGGCAGTTTTGTTTCGGGTTTATGGTTAGATTTCACAGGTAAAGGGTCGGGGTTAGATTTAAAGTTTCAAGGATTTTTTTATTTATTCAATATTTCCATAGCTCAATACTGCCACAGTTAAATTAATTAATAATAACCAAACAATAATATAGCATTACTACTAAGTATCTTTTTCGATTCGTTACAATTTTGCAAGATTAGTCGCCTAGCAGACGCTAGCGATTCACTAGACACTTAGCTATATTCTTACTACGACACCGTTTTTTTCAAATTGCGCGTTGCTTCGTAAACTGACCCAGTGCAGGAATTATACTTATGACTTTCTTTATATTTACCTTTACATTTTCTACCAATTACCCTTTTGTCCACCACAAAAATCCTATTTACCACTCTCCCCATATTATAATAACGGCTGGTTTGGGTTTTGTCCATGTAACAGCGTTTTCAGCTCCCGCCCGGAATTTTTCCCTATGCTCCCAGCAAAAGAAGATGGTAAAAGCCTACGCTCGTGCTCCCGAGCTTTCCATGATTGCTTGACATGAATTTGGGGTATTTTTTTCTTAACAATGGGCAGGGCACGCGGATAGGTATTGCCCACCTTATAGGTGGCTTTGCGCGAAATTCCAGCGTGAGTTAGGGTTAAGACACGTAAATAGTTAGCCCTAGAATTCAAAATAAGGTCGCCTGTCATACAGGGTTACTTATTCATGTCTCCAATGCGGCTTGGTCATAACTGGACGGAATTTACTGACTGATCGGCTTGCTGCAGTCGAGTCTGGTCGGGGCCTGTCAGATTCGATGTTTTTACCTATGGCGAAGAAAATACTTCATTGCTGATCGATTTAGTACACTGCTTCACCACTATTCTATTATTGCTACTGGTTAGACAGGCCTCAATTTCTAAAACTTGGCCGTCAAACTACGCTAAAAGCTAGAATTCTCTCTCTGGTACGTCATCTCACAGCCGAATTTTGACGATAGGCTGCCTAGGTTTTGACTGACGCTTTGGTTTGGCCTATTTTTAACTTATTATTTATGTTAACGGAAGTGCTATTTACTTTTGGGCCTGCACATGTGTACCTTCCATTCCGCCGACAGAGGCTACGCGCAATCCGAATATTTACATTCGTATTGAGACAATGTTTGAAAAGGGGGGGGGCAGGGATTTAACTTTCCGTTCGTAAACGTTTATCAACTGGATTAAAGATCATAATAACTAGAGTCTGTAAAATCCCAGAAGCGCTATTCACTACCTGCCCTTGTTTAAGACTAACTCCCTGTCTACTGTAAATACAAAAATCCTTAATTCGGCGTCTCCTAAAACACAACTTCCCTGCATTTCTACCTTCATTCCTGGGTTTTGAAAGTTTCCAGCACCAAATCCATTGATTATGCTGTGCGATGCCGTGGACACAAAATCTTTCTCAGCACCTTGGAAACGCGTTCGATCCTTCTACTTGAAATATATGCATAGAAAATGAAAGTGTGATTATAACTGGGCCTGCAGTTGGACGATTCTAATTTTTTTCAGCACAAGAATTGTCAAACTCGTTGAGCAGCTGCTCACAGGCGATGGTTTCCTCCCGATTTTCGCCCAGAAGTGTGTTATTCAACCACTAACTGGAACGCCAAAATACCTATTAGTTGTTGTGTAGTTCAAAGTTGATAGTAGCTTAACTTAACTTATTTGGGAACATTTCCCTTCTCAGTGGCATTAGCATTATTTCTGTCAGTTAGAAGTGAGTTTCGCCCATTCCCCACACCAGTTAACCGACAGGCTGGGGCAGTGGCTGAGAACGGGAATAGAAAGCAGGGCCGACGGCTCAGCGTACTTTCCACACCACAACTATCCTGACGCGCTTGAAGCTATCGCAGTATGCTAAATGCCGTGGCATGGAGGGTTGTCAACTGACGAGATATCTCGGACCGCGCAGTCAACTTAGTGTGCTTTTATGGAACAGCCGACTGGCGGCCTGAGAGTCAGGCTGCAGTTTCCACTTCGTGATGTGGCCTCTTTGGCCCTGACCCAAGGGTGAGGACACGTCTAAAACACCTTGCGACCATGTATACACTCAGTCCTAGAATCACTGCTTAAAGCTCAGTCGGGTGAAATATGAGCTACTTTTTGGTCATTTTGGCACAAGCAAAACAGAATTGGGAAACGTTAAAACATTTAAAATCCTGCCAGGTATGAAAACAATATTTTCCGCAGTAGGGGTATTTACTAACGGTTTCCTTAGTTCTACTTTTACCAGTGCTTAGGCTTCGAAGACTGTCTCCGCTCAATGTGGAACTAATGTCTGCATTTTCTGTTTCGGTCCATATCTGAATTGACTGATTTTATGCCCGAGTAACATGAATGGGATCACGAGTTCTCCTTTCTATGCGAAATTCCTCGTTAATCCAAGTCAGGAGTAGACGAATTATTTAGTACCCAGCTTTCTCAAGAACAGTTTTCATTGTCCTACTGACTGTCATCATTTGCAATTTTGCAGGTCAAGGTCTGGTTCCAGAACAGACGAATGAAGAGCAAGAAGTTGCAGTCACGAACTCCCAACTCTACAAACCCCATGAAACAGGAGACCGAAGTG